CCCCCCCCCCCCCCCCCCCCCCGCCCCGTACACAGTTGCATATCTTAGTTGCAGGTCCTTCTAGTTGTGGGATGTGGGACGCCACCTCAACGTGGCCTGACGAGCGGTGCCATTTCCGCACCCAGGATCCGGACCCTGGGCCGCCGCAGCGGAGCGCGCGAACTTAACCACTCGGGCACAGAGCCGCAAGGCCGTGTTTTTATTGCTGTGTAGACTGTTAGATGGATTGGCTGTTGTCTACATGCCCATCTGTAGCAAATGTTGTCTTTATTACAAAGATTAAGTAACTCACTGATGAACCTTTGTTATAATATTTAGAAGAAAAATCTTATATCCTATTGAGGGCAAACCAGCCTGGAGAAATAGTATGCTCTAGACCACAATATTGTCAAACTGAACTTTCTGAGACGATGGAAATACTCTGTGTCTGCGGGTCCAGTACCATAGCTGCTAGCAACATGCGGCTGCTGAGACTCGGGGCGTGGCCAGCGGAACTGACGAACTAAATGTTTTACTTCATTTAATTTTAACTCATTTTGACTTAAATTTAAATAGCCACACATAACTAGTAGTGTATGAAACAGGACACGAATAAAGAACACGGAGGCAGAGAGGCCTGGGTGTGAATCGCTGTCCTGCCTCTTACCAGCTAGTTTCTTGGTCTCCTCTCTGAGCCTTCCTCTCTTAATTTGTAAAATAGGTGCAGTTATGTTCACCTTGCAGGTTATTTGTTGACCATGCAAGGAGATTATGCGAGGAGCTAGTATACTGCTTGCAGACAGTAGACCAGTAATAATATAGCAACAGCTAATATTTGCTGACACTTTCTAGGTGTCAGGCACAGTGCTAGGTGCTTTCCATATATTGTTTCTTTTAAGGGCCACAATAAACATGTGTGACAGATGCCTCCAGGGTTCCTGTATCATTGAGAAGGGAACAGAGACCCGAGTCATGCAGCTCACGGTTTGCTGAGCTGGTTCATCGCATCTCGGCCACTGATTCCAAAGTCTGTAATTTTAACAACTACACATACAATAAACATTTGAGGCCTTGAAATACTGCTGTTACATGCATTTTTACGTCCTATGTCTGAAATGCCCGTAGTATTCTGTCCCTTATACAGGAAATCTACCAGATAAAAGAGAAGGCAGGGCAAGTTACAATTAGGAACACGCTGTCTGAACTCGTTCAAGATAAGCGTTGGCTCGGCGTCAGGACTGTAAATGTAGGAGAAACATTGCGACGAGGTTTCAGTGCACAGCACTACAGCAACACGGCTGTTTGCCTTTTGTGAAATGAACCAAGGCTTAAAAATTAAAATGGCTAGTTTCTCTTCTTTAATCTATGGCAGGACATTTCAGTGATCCATGACCGTTTGGTTTTACTTAAGGCCATTGTCACTTTCCAGAGAGTTTTGGTGACTGTGTGGCAGGGAAATAAAATAAACAGAGGTTGAAAAAACATTTTCAGAAGATGTAAATGTTTGAAAACTTTGAGTTTGTATTTTGACTACTTTGTGGATTCAAGAAAGATCTACTTAGGGCACACACTACATACATGTATATTTATAGCATGTTCTAGTGAATTTTTCTTTCTACGTGAGTCATCTTCCCACTATAGAATAACACACATACCTCTTTGTTTTAAAAACAGAATGAGCTATATTCTTTCAATAAATACGTTACTCTTTACATGTGTACAATTAACCATTTTCACACAGAGTCTCCAGTATATCTCAGGCTGTCCATATTATAGACCGCATAGTCTATACTATAAATAATCTCAAATTTACAGGATTTTACTATCAGAGGGTGGTTACAATGCCTTTTAAGTTCTGCAGAGTTTACAATTTTCCAACTACAGCTCTCCTTTTGGTGTGCCCTAGCAGGAGCTTTGCAAAAATCAGTGATCAAGGGCACAGCCCATCACAGAAACTGTGTCCTAACGTGAGCCACTCACACACTTGGTTACGCCAAGTGTGACTTCCAGAGTTGTGACTGATCAGTTTCCAACCTCAGCATAACATCCCGAATATAAAATACTCTAATTTTCAGGGAGAAATAAACGACATTTCAATAAGTCCCCAGTAAAATCATTCTACGATATCTGCACAGAAACTTTAACAGTGGAAAAGTAATTTAAAAGCATTTTCCCAGTCTCTTCCAGCGGCAAAACATAACTACCGGGGGCCCAAAAGAAAACACATTTGACCAGAGTAAATCATTTGTCAGGTGAATACATTAAAAGAAAATTTAAA